ACTGTTGGGGGGGGGCTGGTGGCTGATGGCAAAGGGGGGAGAAACGGGTGGGGGAGGGCTGGGCATGTAGGCTGACCCAGTGGGGGGGTTGCACTGAGAAGGAGGCAAGTGCTGTGGTGGCTGCGGAGGGGGGCTCTGGACAGAAGGCCCAGCTGGCTGGGTGCATGCGGCAGGAGCATCTGGTGCTGGCTGGCACGGGGTGACAGCACCCCTTTAGAACGAGGCCTGGCACAAGGGAGGCTTGGAGCAAGGGAAGGGTTGGCATCTATCAGCCTGCTTTTTGGTAAGAGAGGTGCCCTAGGACAAGCACTGGAGGGGGATAGGAGGGAGCTCTGCGTGCGCAGGGAGCCAGGCAACAAGTGTTGGAGAAGGTGGTGGGTATATAGGAGCTTCAGGCAGAAGCAGATTCGCAGTTCGGTATTGAGCTAATAGGATCCTGAAAGATTCTGCTGACACAATCAACATAAAAAGTGTAAAAAGAGGCGGGGTGCACTGGGAGGCTCTAATTTGTTCTCGCCTCTCGCTGAAGGGTGGCTGGAAGGGGTATGATGCCTCCCCTGCTGGCGCAAATCGACTTGCCACAATTCTGGGGGGAGAGCTGAGCATCCTGTTGCGAAGATGCAGGGTGACACAAATGTAGCCGGGAGCATCTATCCAAGGACTTTGCTGTAGGCCTGCCTGACTCTGGCAGAGGGCTGGTCTACTGCAGCATCTGACGTTTCCAGATCATTCACTGGGCCTTGGGAGGCACCTTGGTTTGCCTAAACAAGGAAATGCAGCTTTGGTAACATCTGACTTCAGCGGAAATATGAGAGTATTCGGTCTATTCAGCACGCAGTTCACGTAACTCTTACATTGCCATGCTGTATGGTGCCCAGTAGCATGACTGTTTCTGATGAAATGGTAAAAGTGAAAGAAGAAACTTACTGGGGCAAAGGTTCTGCAAGGGGCCACTGTGAAAGATTAAAAGGTCACTTGTGTGACCTTAGGGGTGCTTGGTTCAGAAGCTGAAGTTCTGGAGGAGAGAACTCAGGATGTGCAGAGTGGGTGGGTTGGGCTGCTGATTTTTGGGAAAGGATTTATTAGGGCAAGATAGAGAGACCTCCAAGTACGCTGACTTTGAAACTTCCCTGTGCTGCTTCCCTTTTCACCTATGCTGAGGACATATGTGGGCTGGATTTGATTTGGAGTTTCAGCTTTGTAGGTTGCTGGTCTAAAAGGAGAGAAGAATGCCATGATAGCCTCCTGTTAAGTTCCTCGGAGTCCTTCTGGCTTTTCTTCACTCCCCACTGCAGCTTCCGGCGCATGGATGACGCACTGGGTTCTTCAATCCACTGCTGAAGTTTCCCTCAGCCCATTGCAAAATAGAAGATTGCATGCCTGCATCACTTGTTTCACTCTTGCAGCTCTTGTCAGATCAGCCAAGCCACAAGCTAATATTTTCTTGTTCTCTGCTGTGTGCATGCGTAGCTCCCTCTGAGAGCATCTTTTCCTCAAGCCGTATCGAAAAGCTTGCCAGAATAGCTGCCATGTTATTCTGGCAGTTACTGCAAAATGAATCCATGCCACAGGTCTTCTTAACATTGGGTTTGGGGACACAAGTAGGACTGCTGCCTTCTCTGCCTTATTTGAGATGGCACGGAGGGGTATAAAGGGCAAGTTATTTCCAAAGACACGATTCCAAGGGAGATAGTGGTTTTCTTACCCTTTTCTCTCCTCTGGATTCAGACAAGTGTAGGTGGGGTGGCAGGAAGATTAGTTGGTCCAAAATTAATGCCAGGCTGTTTTTTCTCTTTCGCCTGCTTCTCTTTCGCCTGCAACCACCTTGATGGCTCTGTGCTTGAGCTCAGGAGAAGAATCGGTGCAGCCTGTGGAGCGGTATCGCTCCTTCCAAGAGGGGCCTGCTCTTTTGTGGCGCACTTTGAAAAAACCCTTCTGCTGAGTCTTCCCCTCTGTTGCTCAATTGGAAGTGCTTGATCATCCTTGTTTCCTCACCTAACAGCAGAGGGCTTCTGGGTCCACTCCAGTCTCTGGTGCTGAGCACCTCTCTCTCCCCCCCACCGCCCTTTAATAGAGCAATAGTTGATCTATGGAAAGGCCTTTTGCCTGAAGCCAAAATGGATTTTTCCAGAATGTGGAGGTGGGGGAAGTTCAGAGGGCTACTTCTGAGGTTTTCCTTTCCTGGGGGACTTTCTCCTCCCTCGGCCTGCATCATTTTGTCTGTTGCGCCCTTGGCAGTCTTTCGTGCTATGTGCACCTTGCAAGAAGGGGATCTCTGGCCATATTAGGTTTGCTTTCTGTTCCTGCTCTGACTGTGCTGCAGGGTTGGAATAGCAGGACTGCAGTTGGGGCTGAAGTCCAAATAATCTTTGCGTTTCAACTCCTGTTTCCCAGAGCATTGAATTAGACTCTTCTAGCTCTCTTAGCCGCTTGCCCTGGAATGCTTGTGACCTACAAACTGCTCTGTAGTTGCAGTTTGCATAAGTAAGAGAGGGTGACACAGCTCATTTCATCTCAGCCATAGCATATGTAATGGGAGACTGTCCCAGATAGGATGGCCAGAAGTTTCACGACATGGTGCTGAAGAAGGGTGGGAATATGCTTGTTCCTTTGTTGCTGTTGATAAATGCTTATGGTTCACCATAGGAACCCAAGCTGTGGTTCCTGCCACATGCTTGGAGGTAGGTAGCAGCTGGCCCAAGGTCACTCAGTAAGCATCACTTGCTCATCTCTTTCTGGTTAAAGTTCTAACACACTTGAGCTACTGTAACTTGTTGGCTCTCACCCAGAAGCCTAGATGCCTGCAGTGAAATTCAGCATGGTAAACACACATTCTTGCAGTTGGAGCAATGCCTTTTTCAAACTGGCCTTTTAAAAAACGAATCAGTCATATGACCCTCCTAGAGACAGAAGCCATTTTGGATCTCACTTCCAGCCTTTTTATAAGAAGAAGGTAGAGAATATGTCTTTGAGGTCCAGTTCTAGTCATTCTGTGCAAAAGATATATTGAGAGAACTTGGAAGTCTGAAACATGGTCTGTTGATGACCCAGAACACCTGTGCTCAGCTCAGTATATCTGTAATCTTAACCCAATAAACCACTTGTTAATGATATGGCTTATGATTTGAACCTGATTAGCTGTGCTTGGGATTTGCAAGGCATTTCTCCTGGGGCAGGAGGGAACTGCTGAGTCACTGGAAGGTCCAGCATCCTGTTTCTCATAATGGCTGGAGTTGCCTCAGAAAAGCTGACCACCAGGACTTAAAAGAGCCTCCAAGTCTCTTTTTGCCATCAGCACTAAGAACTGGTAGGCCTTTTCTCTGTGAATGGGTGGGATTAATGAAATTTGCTGAGATATG